CTGCTGTAGTGACTAGAGAGCTTCAGGTAAAAGTCATCTGATGGAAAGTGAGATTGTTACCTCATTGGTATACCGGTCCAACCAAATCTGAGCCTGTTCAAAAACAATGTCTTTCTGTGCTGGTCTTTGTTCTGCAAGTTCCAGGGCAAAAAATGCATAGAGGTTAACAATATCTGCTCTATAGGCATCCAGTTTACTGCTCTCCACTATAAGATCAATGCTTGAGAGTGTAGTCTGAAGCAAATAAACCAGATCACTTTGGCCAAAGAGCGAAACTAGAAACTGACTCTCGACTGCAACTTTGATACTGTGCAACACCTTCAAACATACACTGGCAAAGTCTCCACAACAATCGATAGATGTTCTTAGAAAGAGACGAATTTCTTGCTTCTCCAGTTCATGTAGTTTGAGAGCATGATTTGAATTCCTCTGAAACTCCTGGGACCGTCTTTCAAGAACTTCAGAGAAATGTTTCAAGTATTCTCTCCAGAAAATGCTCTCATCGATTCCAGACTCTTCCCTGAGCCTTCTGAAGTGCTTCTTGACTGTATCTCTGAAATGATAGTGATTTCCTTCGGTTACCTGCAGGAGTCCGCTCTCTATCAGTTTTTCTACCAAGCACTCTTCTCTTACAAAAGATGACATAACAGCACAAGCATCGGTGAGGGAAAATGAACCAGGAAACATGGACAGGTATTTTCCAAAGCTCAACAGTCTCTTCTTCAGATTGTTCAGTGAAAGTCTTATACATGCATCTGATTGTGTTTCAAAACCAGGCCCTTGTGTTTTCTGCTCTTTCTTCAGACTGGAGATGACTTTAGAGACGTCTGCAGTGGTTGATTTGAGAACGTTCCCTATCATTGCCAGACAGAGGAGCGATTTTCCAGCTATTAGTTTTGTGATAGACTCACAATCTCTTGCACTTAAATCTCTCTCACTGACACTACGCAAGAGTTGGCATGAGCTGTCAAAAGTGATTGACTCGATTTCGTACTCAGAGCTGTGATCAGACAAGGGAATCTTCTTTCTACTAGTGATGAGAACTTTGACTGTTGCTGCAGCATTTTCAAACAGCATGTCGATATATTTTAACACTCTTTCTCGATCAGTAGCAAGCATTCTATCAAAGTTGTCCAGTATCACAACTATAGGGTATTTCATCTCCCTACGCAGCCAGTGTAGCAATCTCTCAGTAGAGTTCCTACTGCCATGAACAGAACCTGTAGTCTGAAGGATCACATCTGGCAGGCTGTCCAGAGAGAGAAGACTAGCATCAAGGTAGCTAACTGTAGCCCCACTGTCTATAAGCTGGTGCCCCAACTTGAACTGCGAGACAACTCTTCCCTATACCAGCGGCACCGACCAGATTTGACTATTCTCACTTCATCACTCTGCATGTCCAGTACTCTCATTAGGTCACTAGTCTCTCTGTCTCTACCGAGGAATGGCGCACAAGGCTGTGGGAGGAGAAGGGAGTGTGTGGACCATTCAAACAGTTGTTTTAGCTGGGATTTGTGGAAGAGAAGGGGACACGATAGCAGGAGCAGTAGACCAAACAATGCCAATACAGATGCCTCTGCAGGGAAATTGATATGTCATTTGATACAACATACTGAAAACACACAGGTTAGTACCCCACATGGCAGTGATACCATTCCAAGGCAAATAAAGCCATGCCTCGTGACCACAATACGTGCATTGTCTTCCCTTGGAGTAAACACACACAAGGTGCAGCGAGAAAGTGTGTTGTATACTACTTTTAGTGAACGAAAAACGACGGTGATATACACAAACGACTCACTTTTAATTGTTGATAAACGAGGGGCGGGTATTCGCAGCCACTTGTCTAGATCAGGCTTGTCTCTGTCACGATCAACATCTCGCTTCAACAGGTCTGCGAGCTCTTCGTGGCCACTAGCGTCGCGACTAGACCTCTGCAGACAATCTATAAACTTATCCAATGCACCACTGCCTTTCGTGGGTATCCACTGTAACAGTTTGTCTATCTTGAACTGTCGTGTGTGGTAAACGTTGAGTAGAATTTCTCTCTCGTGGTCTGACAGTAGACTGTGCTCGTTGAGGTGCGGGTAAATGGTCTCGATGTCCACATCCTGACGTAGTCTTCGGTGGTTGCGATTCAGGATTCTCCTCTGTGCATCAACACCCATACTCTTCTGGGAGAAGTCCAAACGACAGGGGTTGGGTGCATCTAGATCTACCCCCATCACTCCTGCTGCTGGGCTCAAACAGTACGCTGCACGGTGTGCGGTCCCGTTTGTTTACGTGAGACTTGTGCACCACGCCTACTTGTGGGCGTATCTGGTTAGTCCCACGCATTTCGTTTGGAACATGGCTGGTACTTCGACGTGTTCTCGCCCTGGCTATCTCTCCTTTCTCAAACATCTGAAGGAGTTGGAGTCAGCAGTAACAGATCCAGGAGGTCTGGCGGTGGAACTGTACAGCAATGGCCTGATAGATAAAGTGACACTACAGAAAGCGTCCCTCGCGTCCGTGACGCAACTAGAGCGTAGTCGAGAACTGCTACTGAAGTTGGAGGGTAAAATCGAGTCACAGGAGGCAGTGTTTGAGATATTCCTCTCCATACTGGTTCGAGAACCGACTTTTGAAGACATATGCACGAAATTAAGAGCTGCCAGAGGTAATTTACTAATGCTTGTTTGGCGAGCACATAGCTATAGTTAAGTGCATGCAGCATATCCAACCCTTGTCTACAATACTTGTCAGTACATAGCTATGGCTAATAGAGAACTACTTTACATAGCTCTTCACAAAATTTTTAAAGTCAGTCTAACTGCTTTTGGATGTGTGCTACTGTTTGGACATCTCAGAGGCAGAGAATGCACATTGAGTGAGCTACTTAGCAACAGGTTCTGTTGCAATAGTTCAACTGGGGTGAAGAGCACAAAAGTGGGAAATGTATAAACATGACAGGCAATCTGTGCTATAGGTATTGACTTGTTGCTCTTACAGTTTTACATGATTTGAACTAGTGGGCACACTTGTCATTAAAATGAAGCCAGTTTAGCAATGAACCCGTTGGTATCGCTGTTTTGTTGTCTCGTTGCGCGTAGTTGCAGAAAATGTTGTAACAGACAGACAGACGGACAGACAGACAGACAGACACACTTACAAACCAAGTATCGTATTTAACCCTTGCTGCGCATGCGCGCCGAGGTTTAAAAACACTGAGCGATTCAGTGCGCAAAGGGATTTTTATTACTTAAGCAGATCATTGTTCTGTGGGCTAGCACTGCCCAGTCACATGAGCACCTCATTGAGCAATGAATAGCATTTAAGACTTTTCCCCTGTAGATGAATTCAAGGATACTACTAATGGTTCCCGCACATCTTTAACACACCTTAACAGTGAGTCTGAACTACTAATGATGGACCGTAGTGTTAGCTGTGTATACCCAGATTGGCTGACGTCTTGGAAAACCATACTGACTGGAGTCACTATTTTGATCGTGTTACTAGCTGTGGTGTGGTCTAACACAGACTGCTACCAGCTGGGACTCTGCCACTCAAAGAGTCTGCCATCTGTGAGTCATTTTGTCGGTCGAGAGGAAGACATTCGCAACATCACTGGCTACCTTGACTTCTACACCTCAGATGTTCAGGTAGTTCACATTGTTGGACCTCCTGGGTTCGGTAAATCCACTTTGGCCTTGAAAATTGGGGAAACATTCTTACGGAAATGGGTCAGTGTTTATTATGTAGATGTTGGTCAAAAAGTGGTTAGAGATATAGATAGTCTTGCTGAGAAGATTGTACTCAGTATGGTTGAGTCCCGTAAGACTAAGGTAACATTCAGTGATTTGGAGGAAAAGATACAGAAGCAATATTCTAAAGCACTAATAATATTAGACAACTGTGATGAAAATTTTGGAGCATTCAAGGGATGAATTTCTCGGTGCATTAAAGTCATTAACTGCTCTACCCCAAAGAAGAGTGAGGTATCTTCTTACTAGCCAAAAATGGGTAGCTGACATTGGCAACTTTCGACTCCATGCCATTTACAATCTGTCATCTGAAGCAGCTATCCAACTATTGAGTACAGTAGCTCCTACTTTAACAGATGATCAGAAAAAGCAAATAGCCGATCTGACAGGAAACGTTCCGCTAGCACTGGAGGTTATTGGAGCCATTTTCAGGTTTCCAGATGCTCCCACACCAGAAATGGTGATAAATGGCCTGAAAGAACGTCTACTTCTTACATTAAGTCCTACTGAGCTACATTCCACGGTTGATGTGTCCATTCGTATAGCTTATAGCTACCTTACTCCTGAACTTAAACAGTTGGGGACAAATTTGTCCCACATTCCCGGCAGCTTTGACGAAATAAGCGCGCCTTTCTTGTTTGAATTCAATCCAGAAATGTTGGCTGACCTTGTTCAAAGATCTCTCTTACAAACAAGCCACAGCCGACAGAGATACCATTTTCACCAACTAATAAAAAGATTCTTTCTTATTCAAGAAAATTGTACTTCATTTCAAGTACAGTTTGATACTCAGTTCCAGCTTTATTACAATTATGTTCTCAATAAAATTGTAAAGGGATATACAAATGATTTAGTACTTACTAGGTTAGATGAAGAAAAAGAGAATATCTACCATATGTTTAGTCTGTTTAAAAGAACCAAAAATGCGACAATTACTTTCGGCGGAATCGCAGCAACATTGGATGCCATAACTTTGGGTGTGTTGCAATTAAGATTTCTCCCTGTTGAAATAAGAAACATCTCAGAAGATATGCTAGCTGTTCTAGACTCATACACACCTGATGAACAATCAATGGTTAACTCATTTCTTCCTACATATGTTAATGCAGTGTTGTTGGTTGGTAAGCAACAGCAATCTATAAGTGAGGCAGCCGCAATCAAAATCTTAGCCTCAAAACGTAAAAGAGTTAATAAAGGTTATGAATTGGGTGAGATTGACGTTGGCACTTTCACTAAGTACTACAGCATACTAGCAGAGTACTATGAGAATAATGGGGACACTGTTACTTCAGCAAGGTGCCATACACACATTCTTAAAACCATCCATGGACAACTGAAGAGCTGTGACCCGAGGTGTGACTATTATGACATATCCATCGCATATAACAAAATTGAGGACAAAAGAAATGGATTGCATTTTAGAGAACTTTCATACCAACATCAATTCCAGTCTTTGGACCATATGAAACAAGCAAAACTTCTTCTAGAATTGCACCAGGACTATTTGCTAAACAATGACAACAAAGCAAACAGTGTATCAGCTATGATAACTGACGAAGTGTATCCATATCTGATGGCTGCCGAAAAATCTGAATATTCAATGGAAGTTTATCTTAATGCCATTGAGTTTTTCAAAGCACAGAATTTAGAAAAACATATGATTCAACTACAAATGAGAATGATTGACAATGCAGTTCCATGCAGCGAACGCAATGATGCCATGCTTTTAAGTTTTGGAGAATATTTTAGGCGCTTCAAATCATTCTCAGAATCATACTTGACTAGTGATATAACTAGTTTGGTGGCTAAATTGGAATCCAAATGTGCTGTATACTATGCAGATATGGCAAATGACGTTTTTGAGAAAGGATGTTATCAACTGGCAATATGGTTAGGAGAGCAGAGCTGTGTGTACATTGATAAACTGGGAGAGCCTTACACTGTACTTAAATTTGGACCAGAATCGATTATCGGTAGAAGTCACTTTATGATTGGAAAAAATTATTCTGCAACAGATAATTCACTGAAGCAGGCAGTGGAGCACATCAACAATGCTATCAGATTTGACTACTTCTCTTTCGAGTTAAGAGAGTTAAGGACAAGGTTATGCGACCACATTTTAGTACTTAATTGGTTTGTTTTTATAATCCACTCATCTACATAAGATATGTCCTAGGCGGAGTAGTCATGATTTTAATTGAAATCACATTCGTCTTGATATTTTTTCCATTTTGTTGGTTGGAAACAGTGTTTCAGCACAAAGATATAATACTAAGTGCAGAAACTGGACTGACCGAGCAAAATGTGTTACGTCTATAGTGATATAAGTTCATACACACAGTGAAGCAACAAATATATATTGATAAATGTTCATTTTTGCTGACTTTCCTATATATGGAGTCTGGTTTCTATGTTGTCGCCGTTGTATTTCACCATTTATCACCTATTATCTACGAATCCTAAAAATTATTATTTTCTTGTCACTTATAACATCACTTTTAATTCTTGATGTACATTGGTTGTAATACTATGTTATAATCATTTTGATCTAAAATAACGAGTTTTTCCGTACTTCCTGTATTACTCTAAAAACTCTCTCGTATACACTCTGTTTTTATTTGTCCGTAGTTAAGTCATGATTTCATATTATTTCCTAGAAGAACGAGTTTCTCTTATTTATACTTCCTTGTAAACTGTATTACCTGTAAAAGAGTTCTATAATTATGCTGATTATTCAACCCTCGGCGCTGCCATTGCGCAGCGAGGTTACTGATAGTCGCTCTGTCTGTCTGTGTAGTGTGTGTGTCGAGCTTATTCTGGCACTACAGAGGCTACGAAGCGGCCCATAGCGATACAGCAGCTTCAGAGACGTACATGAGCCTGATGGCGATTTTCCTGAAACGACTGCGTTCGAGAGCGCCAACACTGAAACTGGCACCGTGTTTTGTCGTGCCCAACCCATCATAAGACGGTGGCGCATGCGATAATGGACGCGAAGCAACGCGGTATGATGGCTCACCACCGACCTCCTGATCCGCTTGCTCTGTGTACCTTGGAGCACAAAAACCAACAGCGAACGGCCGTGTATCGCCTCCCGCATGACTATCTACTACCGTAGCTAGCCCAGTGTCAGACTCCCTGCGAACTACTAGCGGGAGACTGTCGCGGGTCCGTCCATTAGCGCGTACCGCGCGATGCGCAGTTCGCGAGGGTTCTTACACATGAAGGTTAACGCAGTGTAGCCTAGGTTAACGCGGCTGAGTTTATCGAGCGGGCGTGGTCAATTCGTGAGAGCCGGTCAGGTCAGGCGCTACGCGCATGCGCGGATCTCCCGCGCGACGCGCACTTGATTCGCGCAGGCAAAATACAAAGCGTCGCAACTGGCAAGGCAGATTCAGTCCTCTAGCCAACGCTCTGAGCCATTACAAGGCCAGCCTTTCTGCACCCTCCCGCCCTTCCCCAGGACAGGACTTCGCAGTTCTTTTTCTTTCTTTTCCTCGCGCTGGCATGTTTCTATAGGGATGTGATATATGAGTCAGGCTTTCTGTGTCGGAGGGTTTCCGCTATGGCGAATCTTCGCGTCCAGCACTAAGTGCGTCCTGCGTCGTGCGCGTCCCACCGAGTCCGGTGACTCGGCTCGGCGCATGCGCACTGCTACGGCCGCGGGCGACAGCGCATGCGCTAGGTCTCCGCCGACTAGCGCCATGCGCGACTGCGGCTTGCGTCCGTGTTCATACGGAACACGAAACCTGACTCGTCATCCACATGAGTAAGTTATAATAGCATATATAGCAATGCTATACCGCAGGTGATGCTAGGTCTCTCTGTCAGCTAAGAGCGTTAAACAGTTGCTCGGCGCGGCGCGCATGCGCAGCGAGGGTTCGTTCGTTACAAAAACGCTTGCTGACTGAGGACTAAATCACCTCTGCGGTATAATAATTACTAGTGGATTTTCCCGCGATGTTCGGGCTGCATAACGTGCCGTCAGCAGCACACAGCTTTCTTTCGTGAATGAAAGCAGCGATCCCAACTGGGGATTGCCTGCGATGTTCGGGCTGCCTAACGCCAGCACACAGCTACCTTCCTGGAGCCAGCACGATCTACCTGCCGTTGCATGCGTATGTAGATCGACAGAAGTGAGCAGGTGAGCAGGTGGCAAACGGCTAGTGCCGTCCGAATGAGGAGACTTCTCTCGCGGCTAGATGGATCGGCGTCGCGAGGCACCGCTGTGTAAAAGGAGTGTAAAATTAGTAAATAATTTCGGATAAAAAGAAGCGCGTACAAAGCCGCGCATACGCACTTACACGACGTACGACGAACGCTAGAAAATTACGCTCGAACGAACGACTAGGTTGGCTCGCTCCCGCTCGCAAATTATAAAGTGAGGACGAGTCATGTTCGTGGAACACGACGCAAGCCGCAGTCGCGGAGATCTAGCGGAGCGCTGGTGCGCCGCGGCCCTAGCAGTGCGTCATGCGCGAGCCGTGTCACCGGACTCGGTGTGACGCGCACGACGCGGACGCACTTAGTGCTTGGACCGAAGATTTCGCCATAGCGGAAACCCTCCGACACAGAAAGCCTGACTCTTATCACATCCCTATAGAAACATGCCAGAGATGGAAAAGAAAAATAACTAGCGAAGTCCTGTCCTGGGGAAGAGGGAGGGGGTACAGAAAAGGCTGTGATGCTCAGAGCGTTGCTAAGAGGACTAAATTCTGCCTTGCCGTTGCGACGCTTTGTATATGCCGCGCGAATGAAGGGGCGCGCGCGGTGATCCGCGCATGCGCGTAGCGCCTGAACCTGACCGGCCCTCTCACGCGAATTGACCACGCCCGCTATTACGTCAGCCGCGTTAACCTAGGCTAACTGCGTTAACCTTCATCACACGGCTGTTACTCGGTTAATGCGCATGCACGAAAACGTACCCAAGAACAACGCGGGCGAGCGGTCAGTTGCTACGGTTCTCCCACAGTTTCCGGAAGAGCTATAATCACTTTGGTTAGTTCGCACTTACTTCCTACGAGGCCATAGCTCGTGTGTCAGTCTGTGTGTCTGTCTGTCTAGGAATATTCTCGCACTACAGGCAACGTGGCGGCTTATGAGCGATTCCAACGTAAAAATAAAATGGCGATTTTGCTGAA